TCATCTCGGCTTGAACGCTGTGCCATGGTTTAAAATAGACTGTTCCTTTTTACAATGTAGTACTTTCTCCTTCTATTCTGCGTGTTTCTATTCTTTTGGTCCACGCACTCGAATCATGTTATATTTATCTTTTTAAAAATAGTTTTGTCCTCTTTGATGTTTTGGATTCGTTCGATTTGTTCTGAATTCCCCCTCCCCCTCCCACTCCCAAGCCCCGCCCCCCTCCTCAACTATCCGACCCCACCCCCTTTCCCTCCTTAGCGTATGAAGACAATGAAGACAGGTCCGAGACGTGTGTTTGTTCAGGGCAGACAGTGTTCTGAGGCCCCGGGTGGGCTGTGGGTTGTCATCCTAAAGCATACTTCTTTCTTCTTTTCGTTTCGTTTCGTTTCTTTTTTTTCTTTTTTTTGTTGCTTGTTTTAAAAGTATTTTGCGGCGCTCGCAAATGCGTAAGGTCATTTGAGCGCGTGGGACACGACATTAGACATTTTCAGTTGGTAGGAAATTTTGAAGTTAGCCGGGAGGCTGGGGAGCCTTCTCTTATCGATTTTAGATCACCAAGGGATCTTTAAAGTGCGCAACTTGCACACGGGACCTGTGCAATTTTTCGCCCTTGTCCGAGAAAGCTGGGTGTAGATCTTTCCTACCGTAAGATCAGGGGTGTGGCAGAAAGACAGCAGAAAGAAGGAACCAAGGAGAAGCAGTAGAAAGGCTGCAGAAAGAGTCAGGAGCCCAGAGAAGGTGTCAAAGGAGGTGAGGGGTGGGGGCAGAAAGTGGAGACGAAAGCAGACGACAGAACATTGCTAGAGAACAATAAAGGAGGTGAAAGGAGACAATTTTAGAGAAGAAAATGTTTCCGTCGTTACCCGGATTCGAACCCGGGACCTTTGAATGAGAGGCGAACACCTTAACTTCTAGACCACAAAGCCCCCAAAGCTTACTTCGTAAAAGCTCTCTTGGAATGTGGTTTGAATACGTAGCTGGGTCCTTGCGTGGCAGTGTATGTAATGACCAGGCACACGTTTGTTTGCTGCGTTCCCGTTTATTGTTCTTTAACTCCCCCCCCCCACCCCCCAAATCGAAGAAATAACAACAGCAATAAAACAGAACAAGACAAAACAAAATCCCAAACAAACCGGGCCAGTGGGTTTTGTGCCTCTCTCTCTCTCTCTCTCTCTCTCTCTCTCTCTCTCTCTCTCTCTCTCTCTTTCTTTCTCTCTCTCTCTCTCTGTGTGTGTGTGTGTGTGTGTGTGTGTGTGTGTGTGTGCGTGTGTGTCTGTGTTTTGTGTGTGTGTATGTGTGTTTTGTGTTTGTGTGGTGTGTGTGTTATGTGTGTGTGTGTTTTGTGTGTGTGTGTGTGTGTGTGTGTGTGTGTGTGTGTGTGTGTCTTTGTGCCAATGTGTGTGTATCTGTGTCTTTGTCTATGTGCTGTCTGTGAGTGTTTGTGTATGTTGTTGGGGGTGATTAATTGCTGGAAATGTTTTTGTGGCCTGGCCCGTATGGCTCGCCATGTTGTTTAATCTGGTATTAAAAATACATGCTTGTTCCGTGTATATTATTACAACAGCTTGTTTTGTCATACTTCCAATACACCGTAAGCTTTGTAACTTGGGTGGGTGGTTGGCAGGTGCTCTGGTGTGGTTTACTTCTTCTTTCCCATCAAACAACTACCATCTTTATCTCTCCTCCAGTGGTTGGTTGGCGGGTGCTCTGGTGTGGTTTGCTTCTTCTTTCTAAACAAACCTTTATCGTCTTTATCTCTCCTTCTTTTATATATTTGTTACTCTCTTATAACACCTATAATCTTCGGCACTTATATTACCTTATTGTGTTGCAAGTGCCGAAAAACTTTTACTAAAACTAAAACTGAGAAGTACATGCATGTACGATGTATAATATTGCATCTGCTTGTTTTATCATGCTTTCGTGATGCAGTAAGCTTTTTTTTGTAAGTGTTTTACGGCGCTCACAACTGCATAAGGTCATATGAGCGCGCGGGACACACCTAATATTTTCAGATGGTA